CTCTCTCTCTCTCTCTCTCTCTCTCTCTCACTCTCTCTCACTCACTCTCTTTTTTCCTTCTCTCCTTTTTTGTTACTTTCTACCGCGTTCAACCGCCACGACATTTCGCTTGAACAATCGCTTCCCTTCGACATTTACTATTGTACGATCACTGTTCGATTCTACGTGAATCTCGATCGTCGAGCCTAACCGGAATCCTATCGCGTTTGTAGTTTGAAGTTAACGAATCCTGGTTTCCACGGCCTGGTGAAAATTAGCGATGTCGAACGAAAATTTAGAGAACGAGAATCCGGATGTTAGGCGTACGTCTGAAAAAAAAAAAATATGTGATACTTGCCTTGCGCTGAAATCAGCGTCTCTGTCGAAAGAGAAAGAAAAAAGAATTAGAAGAATTTATAAATAGCCTTCGCGGCTCTCGCCTGCCTGGATTTTTGCGAGAAACTGCTTGGAAAGTTTCGAGCGTGAGCTCGCGATACGTACATACGTCCTCTGAGAAAACGGCTTGGACTTTTCGTCAGTATTGCGATTGGCCTGATCAGTAATCCGAATGAATGCTGAATTAATACTAGCATCCTTCGATCTCTGGCGTGTATAAATCTAGTAAAAACGTTGCCGTTTCACTTTCGTGAAAAAAAAAACAGACTCACGCTAGATGATACATCCAACAAATCTGTGTCAGTTTTTATCTACTGCGTGTAAATATAAATTTGTAACGTTGCAAACAGCTGAATATACTAGAGACTTATGGCAGTGTCAAACAGAAATCCCGCTCTTCCTTTTAACGAAAGTTTCGTATAGTACTAACTTGCTCGTTAACTCTCTGCGAATCAACGTGGCTCTTCTGGCGTAAAGGAACTCGCGCGACAACCCGACTGCTCTAATTGTTACGACGTGCTTCGATCCTACGTAATACGATACCTAAATCATGTACAAAAGAAACTCTCTCTATCGAAAAATTTATAAATACATGCGAACCTTGCATTTCTGTGTGAAGCTTCCAACTCCAAGTTTAACGTAACGTACGATTACTGCTTAAGAGAGAAAGTGTCATGCCCGTGAAATCCTTGGTAATGAATGGTGCCTCTCTTTGTTTTCCATTCGACGCGTTGACCGAAAAGAGAATCAGCAGAGCTAGTTTAGATATTTTAGTATGTTCGTACGGTTTTTATATTCCTCTCCCTCTTTTCTATTATCTCTAAATATTATGGTTTTTCACGAACATTATTCCTATCAAATTACTAAGGATTTCCAAGCATACACGCGACTAAATACCATAAGATTAAATATAAAAAGAAAGAAGAGTGTATATATACTTGAGTTATGTTTCTATGTAGTATATATATATATATATATAAAAAATTATCCATAATACATATGTGTATGTATATATAGATATATATTTTCTAAACAAAAGAGTTTTATAAGTGACCATATTCTGCATACGAATTTCTATGCAATCGTGTATGTACACACGCACAGCGGTTGTGCGTGTGTATCTACGCGTTTCGTCGAAAGAAAGAAATCGTTAGAAATGAGAATACATGCATACGTAAATATACAAACGTAACAGATTATGTATATCCTATTATGTATTCGATTCGAAAAGTGCACAATCAATTATTTCTTGGCCCACCGAATGAGTAATAAAATTTGAAGAACTACATAGAAAGTAAACAGTGAAAAATTCTAAAGATTAAAAAATATAAAAAAGACTAATTTTCCTTTTTCAATAACTGTCCGCACTTCAACTTATAATTGCAATTATCCTCAGATATTATACTTGGAAAACAAAAATTTAATCAGTCGAAAGCGAACGAGAAACAATTTTCTCTCTCTCTCTCTCTCTCTCTGCGATATTAAAGAATAAACTATTCTTTTAGTTTCATTTATATTATTTCTATCTACTTTGCTTATTTAGAACTGTGACACTTGCAAAACTATCGGAAGTCTACATTTTCCTTGCTATTAAACTCAGGGAGGAAGAATCTCTACGAATTCAATTCATAATCAGTTTGAACTAACTTTGTACCGCAAACTGTAACGATGAATTAACGATTCATCCCAGTTCATACAGCGAATGTTATTCATGACTTTACCTAAATGATCCAGTACAAAGTTTCACGCGAAATTAACATTCTACAAACCAACGATTTCGAACCATTGTTCTAGACTAGCTAGAAGAGCTACGTGAGATTTGTCGTGCAGCTAACAATCGCAAGAATCGTTCGATTTCATCGTCGTTTCTTCTTTTTTTTTTCTTTCTTTTTCGCGAATATGTTTGTTGCGTTTGCAATGTCTAAGAAATAATTGAATGTGTACGGATTAATCCGGATGTAATGTACAAACACACACACACACACACACACACACACACACATACACACACGGTATGTGCACGAGGAGTTTACGTACACGTATACATATATGTATAAGCATACGATTAAATAGACATGAACGACGCGAGAAACGGAAATGTATTGTCTTACAATGACGAGTCTCAAATGCGGGAACTTCCTTTCGTATTGTAAATTGTCGCGATTGTAAAAAGCGTTTCGACGGATTGATATTTTTTCTTTTTTTTTTCTTTTCTCTCTAGGATACGTATCGATGCTGAATTCTTTTTCATCTCCTTTCTTT